AACAGAGATTCTAAAATTTCTGGCGTTAGATTTGTATTTTTTCTTAATTCCACACCTTATGAATTTATGATTAATGTAAAGACTAGAAGTTTTATCGCGATGTTTTATCAGATGTTCCTTTTTCTTTTTTCAAAAGTGAATACAATCGAGCGATCTATGCACTGCTAAAGCGACTTCTGTATTAAGTAAATCTGATTAATGGAGAAATTTAAATTGCGATATCTCGCCAGGAATTATACAGCCGTAAATCTTTCTTCTGAATTGCAAATTCTCATTTAGGAATACTTAATATATCCTGGACCATTCATCACTGGAAGAAAGTTTTCGTTCAATTTCGACGTGAACAACCCGAACACCGATGTTTTATAAACATCTTGCCCCGTACCACCTGTTGAACATCGTACAGATATACTCTTGGTAATTGACGATCAATCTATCATTCGTGATTCACGTGCGATCGTTACGATATATCGTTAATACAGTAATCTATTCTATTCGAGTCTCCATTGCTAATTAAATACGTTATTTAATATTTCTTCGAACAGAGCAATAATTCCTCTCGTTTTACCATCACCAAAGTCACCAAATTTCCAAATATCAAGGAGAAATAATTCTTCTTATTTTATCATTTTAAGGATCGATAAAGTTCTCGGTTAGATTTCCAAGTACCGAGAATTTATTTCCTTTGATAAATTAAATCAGAAAGGTGATCCAAAGTGCAACCACTTATACATTCATTTATACAGAAATTTATAGCGAACCGTTGTACTACGGTCAATAAATTTTTTTCCCTCTTTAGAAGAGACAGTTATGGTCCTGAAATTTATTACGATATAGTCCGTAGTGGTGAGACAGAGCTAAAAAGGTAACAATCTGGAAACTCCGTCTGTCATAAAGGCGTTGCAGTGTGAATAAATATTATTCGACACGGTGAGCTTGTTGTGCAACGTTCGTCAAACTTTTCAAAATAAAATCGTCCTTGTGAAATGTGTCACAAGAGAGAGAGAGAGAGAAGAATTCTTTCGCGTGTGCTTGTTTTCATGACTGAATAGAGAAGAAACGGACCTTCTTTTTCAGGCTTCTTTGCTCTTGAAATTGTTGCACACACAAGCGGTTGAACCGCAAGCGATCGGCCAAGACCAATTAGCGACGATCGGCTTGGAAATTCTAACGGCACGATACTGTGCAATGTAACGAGGCAACCTCGAGGCAACGCCTAGTGTAAATTGCGTTTCCAGTGAGTGGTCATATATGCTGGCCAATGCCTCCTTCTTCTTTTCCTTCTCCGGGAAGGTATCGACGACCTATCATCAGCGTAGACGGTTTTCGATCCTCTCTGATAAAGAATAGATATCGATAGTGATCGAGATTTTCTAACTATAGCTCACACCAGTCTTTTTGGTAAAAAATCAACGATGCTTCTATACGAACGATTGAAAATTGCTTGTGGCTCGTTAAGGGATTACGATCCACTTTTTCTTGTTTTTTAAAGGAGTACCTTACCGAGACTTCTCTCTATGGAAATAGAGAGTGATTTGAATCGTGTAAAGATGGAAAGTGAAAATTGTAGGTAGAAAAATTTGTGCATTCTCTATTACTGGTTAGAGAGATGCAATTATGTGTTGTCTTTTCGATTGACAGAGTTACGAGGTCTTGCTACGCCATTGATCGTCGAAGTAAAATGATAGGACTGATCGATTGACTGGTCCCACGTTCGCAGAGAACGTAAGGGAATTCAATGTAGAAGTGTCGCACGAATATCGCGCTGTTCGTATTCAATGCCAGATTCATTTTTTAACCCTTTCGCTGCGGTGGATTTTAATACGTAACGTGTGCGGCGGACGGTGAATTTTTAACCACCGCTGCGAAATTTGTTGTTTGATTGAATTTTTAGTAAATTAAGGTGAAAGTGCACGAAGGATGAAATTAAGTATTAAATTAAGGTGGAAAGCGCCTATACGCGCCAATAGGAATGAAAGGGTTAATAAGGAAGAGGAACGTTATTTTTCACGGAGATAAATAACGGAATTGGAAACCCAGGAAACTTCCTAATCTTTACATATAAATTGGCTACAATAGATGTTAATTTTAGGCACCAGAAGTATTCTTCTTAGATAGTGTCTCTAAAGTGAAGAATGGATCGAGGTCGAGAGGGGTTTCGAAATAACGGTTAAACGAAGCATCAAAATACGGCTGTTCGGTACATTCGGCAATGGATCTACTGGTCTCGGCGTCTTTTATGATAATTAATCGGGATTCCATTCAAGCCACCTGACAAGATTACAAGCCATTGTTGCGTACAGTTCTGGTTCCGCAATTGCCAGGCGTTCCTTATCCCCGTACATTTCTTTTAAAACGTTTGATAACCTTTGTTAGGGAACGGTGTCTTGTGTTTCGTAACGGGAATCGTGTCTGGAATTATCAGCTTTGATATTCGATCGAATAGACAGAGAAATATTTCGTGTTTTAACACGACACGGTGTTTTAAGGCGAGTAAGTTGGTCGAATCGAGCGAAGCGATTGGAATTGAGGTTTATTCCTGGTGGAAAGTTGTTGGTAAGAATGTTAATGCGTTGATCGATTAATCCTGGAACGAATTCGATTAGTCTGCGACGTGCCGCAATTGTTTATGCAACGAATAATGGCTGCTTTTATTTCACACTCCGCTATTTCGTTTTGTATGCTGTCCTAGAGCTAACTAGAGGAATCTGCGAAGTGTATCGTGAATTTTTTGATGAAATTTTTCTGAGGTCTAGAGGAGGTTACCTGAAAGATTCTGAGAAAGTAGCGAGAAGTAACTCTTCCTTGTTTTTGAGAAATTAAAAAATTGAGAAATCAGGAAACATTGATGCAAAAAAATTTGTACGAGGGAAAGTTGCTTTTTACTACTTTTCCAGATTGTTTCAGGTGACTTGCTGTATACTTAAAAAAGATCTCATCAAAAATCTGAGGATAGATTTTGTAAGTTTCCTTCGTAAAGTTTGTTTCGTTTGTGAGACTATTCAGCTCTACTATTCGACTGTAAGGTTCAAGTTTAATTGGAACACACATGAGTCTCATTAGCTGTGTGTTCCTTTCTCATTTACATCGTGTTTGGTCATTCTCTTTTAGCACCGATACGTAAGTGCCTTTCGAGTAGTACCGAACCAGGTAAAAACCACGATTGCTCAATTTCGTTTCATGGATTTATAACATCGAGCTTCTTAATGGTAGCAGAAAATCGGTCGATTTCGTTCGAACAAGATTCGAGACGAATCCTTCGTTTGATGCACTATTGCTCGAACCAATTAATCTAACCAGGCCATCGAAACATTCCTTTCTCCTTAGCCTAATATCTTCAAGTAATTGTTGCTCATACATTGTGATTAAATTCATTGAAGATTTAGTTAACCTATTAACCCAAACTAGAACCAGTCCAAGTATTATAATTACAGTACTCCTCTGTTAGTATATCCAAAATTTCGTTCGTGTAGAATAAAAGAATTCTCATTTGGAAAAATCCGAACCAAACATTTTGACGAAGAAATATAATCATTAAAAAAATATGTGCTCCTGTAGCATTAATTCCCAATTAACGAAAAGTTCCATACATTCTATCCCCGACAAGTAGATCCTCGCCGTTCTATACCCAAGTTTCGCAGATTTAATCGCGTAAATTATCCCCTCGAATGAGCGTAAAAGCAGAGAAAACGCATCAGCGCGAGGCAAATGACAGAAGGACAAGAAAAGAAGGAAACGTTAGACCATCTCTCGTTCGTTGGAGGAATGATTGATCAATCCCTTGGTACAGTGTTCACTTGCCTCGCGATATTAGATCTGGCTAAAACGTATCCTAACGGAGCTATCGGATAGATTACGCCCTGCTTCGGGGCAACCAGTCCGTTTTTCTCTCATCCAGGGACATGTGTGGACGGTTCCCCGAGGACGACGTTACCCGGGATCGTCTTTTCTCGAGGAAATCGTGGGCTTGCTTTCCGCTACCCACGCATTATCTCGATGGAATCCGACGTATGTGCAGTTGATGTTGGCCACAGGGCTCTCTTCTATGCCCCACCTCGTCGTTATCCCTCTGTTTCTAGCGTTCATTACAGCCGCGTACCGATTTCCACACACACTCGTGATCGCATTACCTCACCGCGATTAATTGCGTAAGAGATCTGCGAACGCAGCTGCCGACCTTCGTGGATCCTGCCCGCTTCGGGATACGAGACGTGGGAAATTGAAACGATCGATCGATAGAGTGGAGGCACGTGTCGTTAATTCAGCAGGTAAACGAGCCTGTCTGATGAATTTTATTAGGCTAGCTAATTAACGCGGTGCAGTGACGTGTGATAATTAGAGATGGAGATTCTCGTGTGACGAATTAGAGGCGGAGGTTGTTGTAGTTTGCTCAGAATTAGACGGATGGAATAAATGTGTAATTAATCGAGAGAGATTTAAACGTTGTTTGATCTATTGAAACAGAATTAACCCAGATTTAGCGGGTCTACGCCAAGAGGTACGGTAGCTGTTTGCTGCGTTTCGGTATTTACTAAATAGAGTGCAATACTCGGAAAAGGATCAAACGAACGGTAATTACACCGCGTGAGAGTTGTTCGTTGCTATTAGCTTCTATTGAATTACGCGCGGCTGCCACGGGATTATTTGTGAATACGTGTACAAGTACACATTGTACGATGAATAGATTGATGCAAGTAACGGTTACCGAGCGTTCCTGCTAACTTTCTGGAAATGATTGCTCAAGGAAGCGACAAGTGGAAGTCGGTCAATCACGGTTTAACCATAAAAATTTTCGATTTCCTCTGATCGATTCTCTTTTTTTTTTTTTTTTTTGCATATTTTCCACCGGTGTTCGCCAGAGGGAAAAGTGATCGACATCAGGCCCGCGATTCGGCGATAATAAAGGTGTAAATATGGAATAATTAGACGTTGGGTCGCGTTTTACCGTACACTTTTACGTGGTCGTAAATGTCTCGTTGTTCGAAATGGGTTTCACTCACCAGTCTGATGTATGTGCTAATCATGTCTGTCAATTGCGGAGCTCGACTCGTGTGCAAGGGTAGCCTGACTCCCGATGCAATTTGCATCACGCACACACCAACCCTCGGTGAACTCACGGAGACGATTTCCTCCAGAGGTAAAGTCTCCAGGATGACTAAATCGCCGCTTGGAGTGCGTTTGATGAGTCGGAGGCCGTGATGAGATACAGCCACGTGTTGGGTTTCTGGGTGTTGCGGACCGATCTGAGCGAGAAAACGAATAAAAATAAACAAAATAGTCGTTGCTAAATGATATGCATAAAAACGACAAGAAAAGGAGTAGAACTGTTAAGTACTATGATAATCTCGTTACTCTAAGCTCGGACGACAATAAGATTTCGCTGCTTAGTGTCTCGGAGTCGGACTAGCAATAAAACTTTTGTTCTCCACCATTCGAGCGCGCGATTCTAATTTAACCATTGCATTTTTCTTCACGTTACTTTCATTTCGGGAATGCCACGTGTGATTAGCCATGTATAAACACCTATTATTACGTGCAACTAGCCGCAGCCGAATGCAAAAAGTACGAAACGAACGTGGCAAGCTTAGCTCGGTTTAATTAATAGTAAATTGCGAAAGGGTGGCTGGCTCACCGATACTGGAAATATCCTGGCGAAGTACAGGGGCCATTGTTTCGCCATGTCTACGACGTTCTTCTTGATGGTGATTTTGTGTTGAGTACTCTGCAAATTGTCCAAAGTGACACCGTAATTGTCCAACATCTTCAGCATGTTCTGCCTGTCTTCCTTCGTAATTCTGATGCTGGACGTGGCGAGAACATCGTAGGCTACTTGACAGAACACCAGATGAAGCGCCAAAGGACTGTTGAGTGTTTCGTTGGGTGCAAACACTTCCTTCTTCACCCTCAACGTCCAGGTGACTCTGTTGTACGTGAAGTGAGCGGTGGATGTCTGAGGATAGAGCTTGGTGTTCACAACCTCTTGGACCTTCTCTATCTCTGGCTTCTCTGCCGGTGGCATTACCGGCCTGAGAAATTCAGGCCATTCTTCGATTTCAATCCTCTCCATTTTATCGGTACGATGAGTAGACGCAACGCTCGATCTTCTGTCAACGTCACGATCCAATTTCTTGAAACTCTGTCGAGCTACCGCGAACGATTCTCTCGTGTTCGGCATCACGCCGAAGTCTCGCGACGACGGCATGCCGAAACTGTCTCTAGACTTCGGAGACACGTCTCTGGTCATACCGAAAGGATCTCGTTTCGAGCTGGAGTTCTCGAATATGTCTCTGGCGTATTTCGGATCGAAGATGTCGGAATTCAAGTCGCGGCGAGAATCGAAGTCCGAACTTCTGTCTCTGGCAGAACTGCCTATATCCGTGCTGTCCTTACCGTAGAAGTCTTTGGATTTTTGCTCCTGCGAGCGAGGCTTGTCGAAGTCGTTTCTGTACTCGTGGTTCTCTCGGAGGTGCTGCTGGGACGCGAAGATGTCTCGACTTTGGCTGAACATGTCGCGCTGGTTCTTGGAAAAGTGTTCGAATGCTTCTGAATCGGGGGATGTTCGGAAGGAGTCTCTGGTTTTTGGTTCCACCGGGGCTGGAGGCGATCTGGGCTGCGGCACTCCTGATTGACTGGAAGAAACGTTTAAATAGAATTGTATTCTACTTTTCGAGTAATTAATTTCGAAGCTAATGTGTATATTTAAAAAGTTTGAAGAGGAATAATAGTTGGAGGAATGAGGTAATATGCTAATGAGCAGCGGTAAAAGAAAAGAATATACCTATTGCTGTATATGCTTCCACCTCTAGGACTAGGGGGTTGCGGAGGTGTGACCGGAAGCGGAGGTGGCACAGGCCTCTCCATCCTTTCAATTTGCGTTCTGACAACTTGTGCTTGAGTCATCATGTCTGTCGTGCCTTTCGAAGTCACGCTTTGTGTGTCATCGGCCGTGGATGCATAATCATCCCATCGACCTCCTTTAACGTGTCATAGAATATTACCAAATCATTGTTAATTTTCCATGCTGGAGAGTAATCGATAAAAAATTACCTAATTGCTGTTCGAGCAGAAGTTTTCTATTGTCCTCTAAACGCTTCACTTTACCGTCTTCGCGTGGAAGAGCAGGCTTCTCGGTTGTTTTCGTGGATCTCACACTGTGATTCGCTGTCACCTTTTCTAATCTCTGTCTCATCTCGGAGCTGAGCTTCAATTTTCCTATACTTCCTGGTGATGGCCTCTGAGCACCTACTTCTAATCCAGACCTAAAGAAAGGTAGATTAAATATTAGGGAATTATTCAATTTTACAGAAAATTGTAGGAGTGTGAAAATGATGGTACTTTGATTTTTTCTTTTTCTTCTCTCCTTCTTCTTTGTATCCGTTCTCGTGTTTAGTTATCGGCGGTGGTGCATGAGATACAGAGGTCTTCTCTTCGCTTCCAACGATATTCTCAATTTCAAATTCCTCCCACTCCACACCACCCTCTGTGCTAGGCTCGCCGTCACCCTGATTGTATTCCTGATACTGAGGTGTGATCTTGCGTTGCTGTTGCTGCTGGCGCATCTTGAACTCTATGAAACTATCCTGACTCTGATTTTCGTTCGAGTCACTCGGTGGAGGCCATCTAAAATAACGATCAAAATTATCAGTGAAATTGATGATACTTGCCAAAAATTTGGGATCACTTAAGTCGTCACATTTTTTTTCAGATATTTCGATGAAATTCAAAACAGAAATATTTCCGTTTAAAATCTGACTCGAAGAATCGATCTATGTGATTTAAAAGGGTTAAATTTTCAATATTTTTCGGAAAGTTCTCGCATACCTTGCATAATGGTATCAAAATTTTGGTATTCAGTGTATTCCTGTCGATTTAAGTCACTCACCTCCATTTGCCAATTCGAACTGTCTTTGCTCGGCCATATGGATCAAGGAAAGGCCTGGATTCCGATGGATCATGGGACTCCAATGGTGGTGGCATAGGTGGTGGGGGTGGCACACCCTTGTTGTTACTCGAGTTGGACAAATTACTGTCCAGGCTGCTCTTACGATTTTTCAGTTCACTCAACACGTTTGTAAAGTTACTTTGTACATTGTTCTTATTGGAATTAGGTCTCTTAGAATCCGCTAGACCGGTTGATTTTTTATCACCCGTTTTTCTCTCGACACTAACTTTCCTCACTGCATACTCCACGCTAGTTTTACGAACTATTTCCGAGTTTTTCCTCGGCGGACTTTGAGATCGATGAATTTGAGCTTTCACCGTCATTTCTTGACGTTGACTGTTCGCTGTTTGAGCTGGTGCAGCTTGTTTCTCTGTCGACCAGAGTTCATCATCCTCTGGTTCTCTGAATGATACCTAGCAATATTCCAAATTCCCTTTGACATTTCACACAGATCTATATTACAACTTTCTAAACATAGTTCGCAAGTTAAGTTCAGTGATATATGTATAATAAAGGTATTTTACAAACATAAACGATATTACAAACATGCTCGAAATGATTTTATTTTGTGCTGATATATATATATGTATGTACAGTGCTGTGAAAAAATTGCAGATTCGTATCGATTTATTTCAACGACAAAGTTCTTCCCGCTAATTTGCGTTCTTTTGCATAAGAGAAAGGTGAACATAACGTGTGTGTGCATTTCAAACGAAAGTGACTCATCTTCGCTCGTCCTTTATCTCCTCTATTGACGTAATACGATCTTCTAATATGAGCAACAAGTAATTACAGATTACTCCTGGTAATAAACCGTTGTCGAGCCACATTAACCACTTAAACGATTGTCAACCGTAAACGACTATCCTTCGTAATACGTTCTTAGCAAAGTGTGTTTCATCAAAAACCCACATTTTCCCACACCACTGTACCGTTTCGACTTGGCAAATTCTTCCCATAACCGGTTAATCTCACCGAACATATGTTACAACATTTAGACAAGTTCTGTCTAATTTGATCATGGAAAAATAATCGATAAGTCTTTTAATAAGCCGAAGTTATCACTGACGTGAATCGTTCGACGGTTCATTGTTTTTTTTTCTTTTTTTTCTTTACTTGTTAGATGAAATCAGTAGGTACCTTGGAGTAGCGTCCAATAGAGTCATTGGGCCCCATTTGGGCACCATTTTGAGGGGCTGGGGGGACAAGATTCATACTGGAGGGGCCTGCGGACACCACCGTGCCCTGGAAACACACACCCATGCCGCGATGCGGCTCAGAAGCCTACAGGAGATGGTCCAGAAGGACATTTTCTCTCTCTCTCTCTCTCTCTCTTTCTCTATGGTGAGCGATCGCAAACACTGAAGCTGTTGGTGCAGTGTTGCGCAACACCGGTCGTGTTAGTACTTAGTTATGTGATCGTGAAAGTGACGCACGAAATGACGGCTATCCATTCGTTGTGATGACATTTAACATGCAGTTTCTCAGTTTATGTATAGACGTTACGAAATTCGAGTCGAGTATTATTGTGCGATAAGGAATGATGCTGTGTGTCCGGGGTAAAGAAGAATTCAATCGAATATCGAAGTGTGACTTGTCTTCTTTACACAGTGTACACGTATGTCTTTACGTGAGTGTGTGTGTCGCGATTTTTATACGCGGTAAAGTGTGTTTACTTTGGTATCTCGATGACTTTCTGGGACTAGAGAAACAGAGAGAGGATAAATTGCGGTTTCATCGTAGGCACCAGGAAATTAGTTTTGACATAACCGTTGGTAAACGTTGTATTTTCTTTTTCTTTTTTTTTCGCGAATCAAAGGAGAATTGCAAAATGTTCGACCAAGTGAAATCTTGCGAGATTCGTCGATAGACGTCCCAAAAAATAATCGAGCAAATATTTCGTGTCCCAATGTTGTCGATGTCATCGTTATTCACGATTTATCGTTTGATCGTTTCTCACCGGTTGCTGCGACGAGTTTTGAGGGCTCTGCACAAGCAGCTGCTGAAGAGCTTGATTCTGTGCCAACAGCTGCTGTTGAATCTGTATATTTTGAGCCATGGCGCTTTGCAGGAAAGCTCGTTGCAGGTTCTGCTGATAGGCCATCATGTCGTTGTTGGGATTAGGCGGTGAATTTGGGTACTGAGGAAGATTCAAGCCTTGCATATTGTAGATAGGTATTGGCATGAATCCAGGACCCATGTTCATGTTGGTACTCTGAGCTGGAGGCACTTGTTGAGCTGCGCTGAACATCGGCATCATCATAGGCGGTGACATCATTCCTGGTGTAATAGCACCGAAATTAAAAGTCGCGTTCTGATTCGGTATGTCCATGTTGCCTCCTCCTTTGATCTTCTCGGATAACTCTTTCGCTGTGATCCTTTCGTTGCTGGTATTCTTGGTCATCGTTTCGATGAAATCTTCCATAGTTTCGAGATCACTGTTCTTTGCTAAATCTTCGAGGATTATGATACCACTTTGTGATCTCTCGCCCTTCGTACCCTTAATGCTAGCTGCCAAGCTTCTAGCATCGGATAGCTCGTCTAAATTACCATCCAGAACTGGCATAAACAGCTCGTCCAGGAACTGATCCACATCTGAAGCTTGACTAGGTACCCTAACTCGTCTCACATGCGACGCCAGGGAAGGAGCTTCGCTCGTGTCAGACATGGCCGAGGATTTCACGCCGTACTCGCTCTTCTCGATGTAGGCACGACTTGATTGACTGCCTGGCAGTGCTCGTTTGCCTTTGAATTGAAAGGATGGTAGATAGTTAGGTGTGAAAATTATTAGATCGATTATCTTTTTTTTTTTGTGGAAATACTTACCAGGGTATTGAGATTTGATGAATCTCGTCTGTGATCGGATGTAACTGCTCTTGTCATCTTCAGACCTTCCAGTTTGACTGACCGATTGAATATCAGGATACTCGAAGTCTATCGTTAGGTCTTCCTCTTCGATGTTCGGCTCCGTTGTCCTAGTTATCCTGCTGTACTTCCTCTCCTGCGTGATTTCACTTCTCGTCATGTATTCCACGTTACTGACAGCTGACGTCTCGCCAATTCGTTCGAGACTGTGATAGCGTTCGTTCAATTTCGACGACGATAATCCTAGATTCGCTAATTTCACCGGAGGTGGTACCACTTCGGGTTGAAGCAAATTGTCCAAACTACGGCTACGTTGCTTCTCTTTCTCGAAGTATCTGTCGTTCAGGGCAGATTTTCGCGACAGACCAGTGTCTGTTGTGCTTTCCAACATTGCTTCGTGAGATTGCTTCCTCACCTGAGCAACAAATATAAAATACATATTTTAAATAGTGGATCTCATTTTCTGGAATTTTTGTTTAACACGTTCGCTGCCACCGACGCAGCATATGCGGTCCAGAATGCATTGCACAGCGTGCTATCAATTTTCCGGTGGCAGTGAACGTGTTAAAAAGGAATTTTTTCGTTTTGCAAAAATTTTTAACGTTGGTAGAAAAGATTAGCGAGAAATTTAACTTACCGATGGCTTCGTCACAGGTGGCTGTGGTGGAGGAACAGCAGGTCGCCTTGGCGATTGAATTTCTGGTTCGACAGGTTTGTCCACAATCTTAGGTACTGGTTTCCGTTCCAGAGGTTGGAAGGTTTTCAGAACCGGTGGTTCTATTTCCTGCTCTAGCTCTCGAATTATCTGCGCGTGCTAAATAAACCACGGAGAATTTTATTATATCATTCACTGCCATCAAATTCTTCGTTCCGAATACTAGTGTACCTACTTCTCTCTTTTTGATAGGAGGGAAACTGTTCTTTCGCTGCTCCAGGAACATGTGTTTGGCAGCGGGGAACGCCGGAGCCAGTTCCATTTCTGAAATTAGGTCTAAGACATAGTCGAAACCATTCGTTTCCGTTACAATGGCATCAGGGCCGTCTAATTGATTCCACAAGGTAATTGTCCATCCAGAATTGTCCACGCCGTGATTGTGGACAGCGAGATTGGCTAGCTCTTCACAGGTTGTCCAAGAATCCACTGCACAGGTGATCGTCTCACCTGGAAACAATAGAGAATACGTTGATTTAAATATTTTGTTGGAAACAATGCCGTGTGTTTTATTGAGAAATGTCTCACCATCGTAAAATCCGACGCTTAGAGCCATATTGACGCGATTTCTGTTTGCTCTCCATTCCAGTACACAAGGAGGATAATTTCTGGGTATATGATGAACGACCTGTTGATTGTTACTCAGTATTCTGAACATTGTTCTCTCTCCTTGCAGTAGCTTCCTTTGACAATAAGCCTTGTAGCCGTCGTACGCGTGGTCAGACACGTATTTCAGGAAATACTTGAATAGAGTAGGACTGGGTTGAAAAGCTGACAGACAATTTGACAACAATAACCAGCCTCGTTCTTTGTTCGCGTCGTTTTCATTCTTCCACGTTTGATTGGCCAATTGACATAGAATCTCGTCTCTCAGTTTTTCATTGACAATTCCTTTGTTCACGATATAGTCGCCTAATGCTTGTTCTCGTTTGCCACTTAAATTGTTCTCGTTCATGAAACGAAGGATCATCTTGAAGATCATCAAGGAGTCTGTGTAATCTTGGTCGCGAGCTTTAGCCAGGAATGGTGTCTTTATGGGTTCTCGTTTCATCCCGAAGATGTGGCTTTTGAAGTAAATGTTGGTGAATTTGGAGAACTGGTGTTGATCTATGTCGTTTGGTAGAGTGTAACTGTGGTGCATGGGTATCACTTGACCCACTACTTTCAGTAGATTTCTTTCTGTGTGCGTAGGCTGCCAATCTGCAAAAATAAATAGCACATTTCAAAAATTAATCGATAATTTTTTCTACAGCAGAGAGTAAAGTAATTAAAATAAAATGTGCGTGATCAATTACCGTCTTTGTTGCTTCGCTTTTGCTCGTTCCTTACTGGCACGCTCAATTTCCGCTCTCTTAGCCATCTCCTCTTTCAATACCTTAAATTTCTCACGCTGTTTCTTCCCCCTGTATATTTTCTGTGCCATAAGCACACCTTTCTTCAACGCCTTGAACTTCTTCCTCTCGCGATAACCTCGGTAAACGGCTTGAATTAGAACTGTGCTTCGTGAGATGTTGAGGAACCTTCTCCTCGCGAGGAACCCTCTGGTATATCTGCATTCAGACGATTACAAAATTCTCGTTAAATTTTAATAGAAAATTTTTGGAGCATCTGAAGACACGAAACTTCAGTTTTGAAGCGATTAAAAGTAATTTATGGTATCGAAATACGAGTTCTTTTGAGCTTTTCACAATTTTTCTATTCAAATTAGTCTTCTATTTAAATTATTTTTCTATTCATATTTCTATTCATACCTTTGAACAGTTATGGCAGCTCGCTCCAAAATCAATGCTCTGTTGTATTCCAAAGTTCTTTCCAAGGATTCTCTCAAGAATACCCTGGTCAGACCCAACTGATACTGAGATTGCGCTTCCTTCGGTGCAGCTTTGTCCAAGATTATGCGACAAAGCTCTTTATTCGGCGCTCCTCTTGGCAGATGCGTGGAAACGAGGTATCTGTATCGATCGACGAAGTGTCCAAAAAGAAGTCGTACCGGATAACCAGTTTTTCGTATGCGAATCGTCTCGAGCATCCCGGTGTAACGAAGTTGCTCGAGAACACAGGGCATGTCGAATTTCATCGGCGCCTTCTCTGTGTTCGGTTTGATGCATCTCACGAACCACGGATTACACCTTGGAGAAAAATAATTAAACGTACGTCAGGGAGAAAATTAATCTCTTCCGGAGATTAATCTTGGATGTCTCGTAGAAGTGAAACTTCGTTAAAATTTAATTTCCATTGAATGCTACGAAATTAGCTGTTTCATTTTTCCTCGTTTTGCGTGAAACACTTGACACTTGGAGTGAAATGGCATAATTTACATACTAGTTCGACGCGCTTGTCTACGAATCAGAGCATTGACACAGACACAGTATTTTAATTCGAAGAGAAATTTGCGATGTTCTTACTGAGACATAGAGTCGAGAAGTTGTTGTAGACTGTCGTGAAATCGAGCAGACACGGTTGGTGTCCTTGGTTTCATGGTGACGAATCTGCCGTTCGGTTTGTTCATTGTTTTATTCGCTTCGTGGGTTGTCCTTACATGCTGGAACATCTTGCTGACCATCTAGAAAAGGAATGGATCGATTAATGGAGAATTTCAACGATGAATCCTTCTCTGAAAATGGCAGAAAACTTACAGATATTTTGCTACTTATCAATAATTCCACAACGTCCGGTCTCAGTGTGTCTCTATTTTTATCCAAGAATCCTTCGACGTTGTACCAAACTTGGCCTGCGTAGTGTTTAATAGCGAACTCGGCGGAATTCATTCTCGGTCTCGAGTACAATTCGCTCAAGGCGTGATTGTAATGGCATTTTTCTAGGAACGACAGATCTGTCGCTTTGGGAAAATTGCTCTCGTCGTCCAACAGATGAAGAATTCCAACTGGTTTCTTTGCGATCAGATGTATCACCGGCAGGTTGTCCTATATATCAAAAGCAGAAGTTATTTTAATTCCTGTAATAATGGACAAAGTGGCGAACGATTAATTGCACACGATATATCAATTTCGCGAAAGCTAATCTCTCGTAAATCTTCCCAATGGAAATTCATCGTGATATTTGTCCGGTTATAATTAAGCCAATTAATCCCCCCCTGACGAGGCGCAACTTTCACTTACGGTATAATTGATGGTCGTCCAATCGATTTTTTCCTTAGCGTACTCCTGTTGCTCGAGCTTGAAAATGTGCTTGTTGAAGTAGAACTGGAGGTTCTCGTTCGCGTAATTGATGCACAATTGCTCGATGCTGTTCTCCGTGAAATTCTCGAAGCCGAATATGTCGAGTATCGAGATCGCGGCAGTCTGCTTCGTTCCTTTGTAGACGATGTGATTAACACGGGCGACCAACCAGGAGAACAGGGAACTGTACAGAGCCTTGGCGAAGGCATCTCTGGCATCCAGAGCCTGATCGATATTCAACGCCGTGAAGACTCTCTCGTTTCTCGCTTCCTGCGAACAAATCTCGTTTTACCTTATCCTCCGACACACAGATCCCCGAACGTAGCAATTTCTCATTCTTTCCCCCCCACGTACTGTCGTTTTGGTCGTGAGTGCTCTGATAATTCCGTCGGAGTTGACCTGCAGAAGATGAGCTGCCCAACGTATCTCCGCATCAGAACCAACCTCCACGCCTTCTTGACCGTGCCTCATCTGTTTCCGGTGAAAATACACGTTTCCAAGGTGCAACACGCTAGCTAGTATTTTAAAAATCGTGTCTTGCTCCTCGGAAGTGAATCCCAACACTTGCATCGCTGATAGCAGGGCTTTGAAGTCTTGGGTGTCGCTCTTTCCATCGATCTCGCAGTTTCCACCCTGGTAAAATGGAAACAGTAATGTAATTTACTCGTTGGAATTAGTTGGGTAGGTGGTTTCGAAGGTTCTAGTAACCTGGTTCAGGTAAAAGTATTTGTCTGGGGTCAGCAATCCGTACTTGTCCCTGAGCTGCTGATCGAGACCCGCCAATAGTTCGTAGAACACATGGTAGTTCCTTTCTTCCGAGGCTTGCGTGACTATTCTACTTTTCTCGAGGAGATACTGGGTTATTCTTCCTCCTACGATCACTCCGCTGAAAATAATTATTAATTTAAACTCGAGGATCCTATTAGCTGGCGATTAGATCTGGATTCAAGCTTTCACTTCGATCGACCGATTAGAGGATTTTGACTTTTCTTTTTTTGCTAATTAGAATTCTTTTCTTTCTTCCAAGGATCGTATACTCACTCCCTGAAATAAACCTCCAAATATTTGCCGAATCTGCTGCTGTTATCGTTTCTCGGCGTCTTCGCGTTCCCGAAGCTCTCTAATAATGGAGTCGCCTCGAGAATCTGTTCCGTGACGAGATTGTTGGGTGCTCGATTAACAGCGGCCAGGTATTGCATTACGAGTTTCGTAGATTCCGTTTTTCCTGAACCGGATTCGCCGGAAATAACAACCACTTGATTCGCGCTGGCATTATTTGCCGCAGTTACTTGACTGTACGCCGACGAACCCACGGCAAACAGATGACTGGAATTGCACGGTAATATTTGTTCCATTAATAGAGAATATACTGTGGAAAAAAGTGTTACACAAACGGGAAGCTTGCATTGTTGCGTTACATTCTCATTATGTATGCACGTCTCTTTTTTCTTTTTTTTTTTCAAACTATGAAACTCACGGAGGTAGTGTGCCTAGTATTCGTCCTTCGTAGAGTTTTACTTGGTCCAAGCCGTAAATGTCGAACATTTTGTAAGGATTCACCGCCACTAGGATGCTCCCCGTGTAAGTCTGTCGTTTTTTAATTGTGTTAATTGATGTTGCGGTAAGATGTTGATTGTTAAGTAATGATTAAAAGTGTAGGAGACGTACGTATATTAATTCCTTGTCGTATCGAATCTTCAGGTTCCATAGTAACGAAGCTTCGTTGAGGTCGCTGTAATTTTAACAATGTCTGAAAATAATAGGATTCATTTGTTAAATGATAAGGAGAAAACTTACGTTAACTGAATCATATCTTCCACTCCATTTTGGCCAAGATCCTGTCTTGGTTTCACCCCGCTTAGGTTCGTCAGGGTGAAGATTTGTGGCTGAAACGTAACGAGATCAATTCACATATCAATATTCATTTTTTTTAAATAATTAATTAAAGGTAAGGGGGAATGCAAGGAATGTCACAAAACTGGATTTTCGAGAACATTTAATTTGGTTATCTTGGATAATTCTTCAGCAGTATTTAGGATTCTCTGTATTAACCTTTTCAGGCTCAAGGTAACGGTCTATTGTTATCGTTTTTTATCATTTTTTATTGCCTGCTATCGGCAAATTTAATCGTTTGCAAATCAAGATAATACATTTGCAGTTTGCATTTTTGCTTTTTTCTCAATTTTTCACATTATATTTCGGCCAGTTCCTGGAGTTGTTGCTTTACCAAATTTTTCATAAAATTTCATAGATTTTCTTCGTTAAAAAAATCCTCCGAGCTCTCTAAAAATCGCCGATCTTAAAAGGGTTAAACAGAATGTCGCTGCAAGTAGAATATCAATTTCTACGCTATTTCAAGAAGATCCTAGGACGTTGCTTCGCACCACATTACATTTTCGACGATCACACGGACACAGAGGTACGTCAGTGGTTCCGGTGTCCTCCTCGTCTTAGGCCTCAAGGTCGCGTCGTTGGATCTCGTCCTCCTCACAGTACCCTGTCTCCTCGAGTATCCGCTAGAGTCGCTGTCTCCATCCTCTCGCGGGTAGACCCGAAAAAATTCGCGAGAGGACGTGGACGAGGTCGTCGAGAACTCAGTCGAACCATCCACGGATTCTTGAAGAAAGTAGTCGTGGTCGTCGCCGAGGGTACGCGCGTCGAAGGCCGACTTTAAATTCTTCAGCACCGATTTGGTCGTTTTGTAATGCCACTCGACGAAGTCTTGCTGCGGCGCGCACAGGCACACATCATCGTCCTTGCATCCGAAGATACTTTCTTTCGAGCGTAGCCTTGACTTTTGAACAGGAACATCGTAGCCGGACGAGTCCGTGGCAAATTTCTGACACCGACATCCCGCGAAACATCTGTCCGGTTCGCTCCTTGAATCGGGATAAAACTTGTCCGTGCTACTCTCACTCTGAGTGTCTGAGTTAACCTCGTCTGAACACGATGTTTCCACTCCTTGACGAATTGTCGGAACGTCGTAGTGATGATCTTCTTCTGTGGCCATGATTTATTCAACGATAAACGGCCAATCTTGCTTAGAATTACAGACAGGAAGAAAATGAAAGCTTCTGCGAGAATTTGTTCCAGAGAAATATCTTAGAAGACCTAAGTAAAGTCTGAGTAAAGTCTAGGTTGTTGAAAGGAAGTTCTAAAAATAGGATCACTAGTTTGAATATTTATCGACGTTTCTTTTTTCCGTGCCAATGTATTTCCACGCGTTTAAGTAAGTCCTCGTTTGAAATGCGCCGAAGAAGTCTAGGCTGTCGAAGGAAGATTCTAAAAATAGGATCACTATCTTGAAATCTGGACGACTATTCACGAAGTCGTCTTCGGAATAATTATCGACGTTTCGTGTTGTTGGTTTTTCACGCACACACGTTCTTCACGGCTCGACGAAGAAGGTTCTCCAAAAGTGGCTGGCCTGATCCATCCTTTTCCCAACAGCGTCTCTCTTCCTTCAGGCGGCTTTTGCCTGATTTTCTCGACGGTTGCGACCCGATCTCCGGAGAGAATGCGCGATAAAAAAGGAAGATTCACGCGAATTCACATAAGACGCGAAAGCCACTAACGTGGGACTTAACCGGATACCGGGTTGCCTGAGTTTGCAGTTGCGATTCCATTGGCGTCGGCGCGTTACGATTACGGAGAAGGCGCGATTTTACGGAAGGATATGAGCGTTTTGCCGGCCTGCTATGTTGTAGTAAACAGAAAGCGATCCCGTTACCGGATTTTAATGAACTCTCCAATCCTTCATGGAACTATGACGATGAATTGAAAGCGTTATTTCACCTGGTAATTTCAAGCTGTTTCTTAGGCGCAAACATGGATCCGGTAATTCTCGTATTTGCAAAACTAGTTTCTTCGAGTGATCCAACGGCTGGGATAATTTTTATTCGAACAATACATTTTTTGACAATTTTAAACGAAATTACCGATTGAAGATACTTCGTCAATTGTCAGAGATTGTTTTTATCGAATAGGTGTTACTGCTAATAAGAGTTGAGTAGTGTTTGCACAGTTGTTGAAACCTAAGTACGACAATAGCATTGTGCAAAGTTAATGTAATACAATTGTTAAATGTCTCATTTCTACGCCTCTGTGCACCGTCATCTATAATGGGACACCGTTGAACTAGACTCCGCTACCAATGCACGACAATGCATCGAGAAATCGAATACAAGACGCACAGGCGCAGCACACAGAGGAATGATCAATGCTAACTCGAGCCGCGTTCGATTCGCGTTTGTCACGTAAATAAAACTGCGAGAGCGAGCCTGGTCGTAATTTTATTCGTCGACTAATGTTACGTTAACGCGATGCCACCTTTTTTCTTTTTTTTTTCTTTTCATTCTGTTAGAAAATGCATCGCAACCGTCGGAAGTGTAATACACTGTAACCAGACGTAACAAGTTCTTTAAACTCGTCATGCATTTCTCTTATGCTTGGGCAAGAGATCGAGTAAAATTCAAGACGAACAATCGGTGGAATTTTTGCCTCAGGAGAAACTTGGCAATCTCGTTTTATCGTTGTTGCACGCGTTTCTACACTTCAATTTAAGGAAGTGTAGCCACGCTGAATACGAGTTGTACATGGAGGAAGATCAAATCTGAAATTTCCATTGGATTGTGCTTGCTATGATTGAATGCAAAGATTCAGAGTTCCAGGGAAGTGTATTATGGTTGAAGTGTAGCGGAAGTGTAACTGCCAGTTCACATTGCACCGATTTTTACGCAAAATGTTGGAAGCGGTGTGTGCAAATTCTTGGAATTTAGCTGAATATTTGCAAGGGATTATGGGTCTAGTTATCCAATCGAAATGGACGAAACGATTGGTTTAAAAGGGGAGCAAGAGGCGAGCGAAGAGACGCGAATTCGCGAAAGTGAAAGACGGGAACGCGAAAAACTCGGGGACACGATTGTTGCCAATACGTACGGTGTCCTTGGAGCTTGAAAGTGCACGAAGGTGTTGCAAGCGACCGGCACGCTGCCCCTTTTCGATATGCACTTTCACGCGGGAATCGATACATCGGTCTGTCAGCCGGTGGACGTAATTTTCCAAGGTGTACCGCAGCAGGCCACTTTCGCGGAAGTATTTCACGGTATTTCGCGAAGAATGCGCGGCATTCGATGCTCGATTCGACTTTCTAGCCGGGACTCGACGCATTTGACTAGCCCGTTAGGTGGCCACGACGGAAGTCTCGTTTCTCCTCCAATGCATTTCGTTCCTCTTCCTGTGACATGTTGACGTCTGAGCTATGGGACTGTCTCAGCTTCTTATGGTTACCGCGTTCGTTCGTCACCTTAACGAACAACTCTTCTTCTTTCACGCGTATTCTACACGTAGGAAGAAATTTTGCTAATCGATCGTGTTCGTGGTAGCTTAATTGTTTGATCGAAAAAATTGCTCACGGAAAGATAGAAGAAATTAGAGCGATACTTGGAACCACCCACGTAGCCAAGGCAAGTCGCCACAACGCGATAATCGTCCGGCTGTGGCATTGTTTGCTGCGCCAAATTGCGCTAGCAAAAAGTCAATGGAACATAGTAAGAACGTCGACCGACCGCCTGAAGCGGGGCTCGCTTTAAGGAAATGCAGAATAACCGGTTGTTCCTTGGCCTCGAAGTGGCCAACTCCACATTGTTGACTGGCTACGTACTCTAACACACGTCTTGTCGTGTGCTGCTCTATCCCTTGGAGATAATAGAACGCTACGCGGTTTCATTGTTGATCCGTCTATGGGGGGTTCGAACGGTACATGTACGATTTCTATTCCAGCCGGGAAAGAAAACGGACAGTTCGTCCCGAGAGGAACGCGTTTCTGCCTCATGCATCATAATCGAGGTTGTGTCACAGATGTTGCATAAGTTATCCGGTCGATCGTTTGAATCGCGAATAATTTACGCGTTCCAGTGTGTCGTGTGTCCCCCTTTTACAGACGTCGAATGAACGCGTTCATTGAGAACGGAATATTTTCCACGGGGGAAAATGTTAATCGATGTTTCATACCTTGCCAGCGATCACTGCTTGCACCGAGAGAACGTTCGCTGCCCTGTGATACTCGAGAACCTCTCCTGGTAACACGTGGCCGACGCCAGGGTCGAACCACACCAATTCACCCTGCGAAAAGAGACACTTTTGTTAACAGAAGGAACATTGTACAATCCACTTTCTACGGTAGAGCTATGAAGATTCTGTACTAGAAAGTACGTGTGTAAAAATATGCGTTGCGATAGAGTTTGCGAGAATTTTTAATGCAAGAAATTGCAACGATACTAATGTAAATAGATTTATCGAGAATTTCTCGAAACTCCGAGAAATTCCACGTTCACGTAGGATTCTTGCACTCGTACAGAACTCGAGGAATCGCAGGAATTCTCTGTACAACAAGCTTGGGTAGGAGTTAACAAGAACACATAACTATTGCTGCAACTGGCCCTGTCGAAGTGATTCGAAGCAATGCTAACCGTTTTCACGTTCCACGTAGGAGATGTCGAAACACTTTGAACCTTCGCCGAACCGTTTGACGAAGATTGAACCTTCCTCTTGCCGGTACAGAATCCGAAGATCGAGGATGTAGTGACCGGTGAATTGGAACGAGCGCTGTTCGCGTCGCTGAAAGCTCTAACATGGTTCGCGGCGGACTTTTTCACGTAGTTCGATCTCTCCTTGATCTGTTTCGACGAGATACCGGTCTCCTTGGGCAATTTTCTGTGACAGTCGATCCCTGGCGGACTTTCGGTCGAGTACTTTCTCGAACTTTTCACATAACTGGGAAGAGTGGTCGCCAACCTGGTCGCTGCACCGATCTCTCGTTGCGTCGAGCGAAAGTTTTCGATCAGCCTGCTCTGAGACTTGGATTTGTTTTTCATCGTCTCCTTGGACTTGGTCCGGTTGCCCTCCGATCGTGAATCGTACCTGTCGATCCCGCTCGCGCTCTTCTTCTTCGATCGATCAACCTCCATCTCGTTCTGCTCCTTCTTCATCCGAAGGTCCAAGTCCTTGCTCTGATACGACTGACTTTCTGACTGAAATTCAGGCTGAATTTCGACAGAGTCTTCTTCCGTCTTCGAGCTATTCTTCTCCGCTCCGTAGTTCTCCTTCATGTTCTCGATGATCCTTTTGCGCGACATTGTTCTATGCCCGGAGTCTATCTCAGCCTCGAGCCTACCGTTAACACCATCTTTCGAATCAGTCTTGTTATCGTGGCTTTGATGACCCTTCGACGTTCGTCGAGACACTTTGGCGTAAATCGCATGTCTCTGGGGATTCGATCGCATGTCAACGAGAGGTAACGTGGCTGCGAAGAACGGTGTGTCGGGAACCGGGTCGCGAAGATGTCTCGTCGTTGGTTTAAACTCCACGTCCACTGCTCTTTCTCTCACCAGAAGGTTGGTGGGTTTGGGATACCTCGACAAGGTGTTCAGCGACGTGAGTGAATTTCTTAGGGTGCCTGTGCTGCTCGGTAGTGAAGTTTTTCTTCTTCGTATCCTTCCGTAGATTGGCGGTTCCTTTCTCACGACATCCTTGGCCAGCCTATGGCTGGCCCACTCTTCTGCAAGCCTAGCCGATCTGGACACGTGGTGGATTATCTTAGGCAAGGTCGACGGTCTCGGCACAAGGCCGCGGGTGATGTCCTGTAGCTTACTGGTGACTGCCAGGAAATCACAGACTGACCTGGACTCTCTCTCGTCCTCTTTGCCCCACCCATGGTTTCTCGGCCTGGGGACGTTCTTCTGGAAACTGGAGGAGGACTTCACCGTGCCACCTTTCGCCTCTGAACTTTCTAGCTTCTCCTCTCCGCGGCCTTTTCCACGAGAGATACCTACCGGCGCGTCCACGCTTACTCGTCTGCGTAGTATGTCCTGTCTCGAGATCTTTTTGAATCCCTGAGCGGTTTGAGAGACTTTTCCCTGTTGCTCCTTCTGCAATCTCTTCGACGTGGATGGAAGGGTTCTCGGTCTCTCTTGCAGATCTTTCTCCACGTCTACCGATCGTTTCCAACGATGGCGCAAAGCCTCGCTGAATTTCGAAGGATTTTCCTCTTTCTCTTTGCTGTACCTTCGCAAGATTTCCCTTCGAGACACTGCTATGTCTCGTGGAACCGTGTGAAACAGCTCCTGCTGACCACCGGACAGTCTGTTGGTTCTGGTAGTGTGCTCTAAAGGGATTCCTGGGTCCAGGTACCTTGGACGACCGGAAGTGTAGTGCCTCCTAGAGCGTTCCGCCGATCCGCTGGAATTTGGAGCGGAATTTGTATCTGGGTCTGGGCCGGTGGAATTATGCAATGCGCGTCGAACGGATAACGGTTCCACGCCGGCGTAGAAAGCTTCCGAGCGCGTGTTTCGTGACGAAAACCGATTCTTCGAGGTCGACGATCGCGTAGACCTGCGCTCGACTCTCTTGCTGCACGCTATCGCGGACTCCATGTTGTGTATACCGGTCAGCGTTCGATTTTAATCGATGTTATTGACTTTCTTCAATAGTGACCGCGCGGAAATCACGTCGTAAGGGAATCGTTGCAATGGCTCCGGCTCAGCTGCTGTTTTCAACGGACATTCTTGTATCTGTTCGATTCGAACGATTCGTGAGACGAATCCGTGATACAGAAATTATACAAAGATTCGTCAGGAGGCGTTCGTTGGGTTGAAAAAAGAGTTTTCGGTGAGTCATCTGCTCGGCCACTTTCTACCTTGAAAAGTGGCGACGAATCGTAAATCGTTGGATAAGATTTATCAGTCTGTTGGGACAGGTAGCTAGAGATACTCGAACGATGCCGGAATGTTCTGTTGAAGACATTTTTAATAACTGCACTAACGGTAACGTCAATTAAATCACAAACAGACCACGAAGCACGCGATTTAGCAAAGTTGCCGGGGTTTTCAGCGTGTCCCTGTTTCATTTAACACCAATTAACACCGGGTACTGGAAACACGCGTAGACCTGACCTTGTTAACGGTCTCGATTCCTGCGAGTTTTGTCAGGGACCAGTTTCCCGTCTAACCAGAAACTAACCACCTGCAACTGGTATCATTTTTACGTAACATAGACTCGTCGTTGATTCTTCTTTTATCTATGTCTTATCACCTGGTTATTTCTCGACGTTGAATAAATTAAGAAATTAACTTGGTTAAATAAAGTTCACACAAAGTGCTCGAAGGTTCAAAGTGACCAGACAGCTAACACCTCTTCCGTTCTCTCATCAATATTCTTTCTATTTACAGAAAGTTTGTGCAAACATGACCCGGCTTGTAAACTCGTCTCTCGAAGATGAGTCTTTTAGTCGAAACTACTGTTGGTGACCTTGCTATCATTTTGTGCCAGCATCATCCGCGTGATTTAACTGTTTTCCGAGTTCCAAAGGTCCTTTCTTCAAACGATCATCGATCTTCCTGATGTATTCGTGTCGTTGCAAACCTTTCATCGTTTCTGCGAGAGTTTCATCGTTGGTAGAATATCAATTTCACAGAGTCAAAAGCGATATCGGAGGAAACGAGAATGGTCACAGAATGGTCGAGATCGGCGTTAAGAAGCTGAGCACGTTCGGTCAAGATTTGAGACAATCGTTCGGCACAATACTGTCACGCATTTTAAATTCAGCTTAAAGGAGTTAGGAGGCCACTGAGACGGTTTACTATTGAGCACATTGGGTCACCAGTCTCGAAAAATCCGTGCTGCTCGCATAGAATGCGTTAACGGTCACTCGACGAGACGTTTCGGGAATACTTGCACGTAGTTTGCCGGGCTGTCAATCCTCGCGATCCTTTGTACACACATCGGCGACGATTTAAATACCCATCAATCCATTTAGCCGCCTGGTCGTCCTGTTTCAAGCTACTTTTACCCGTGCTCCACCGATTAAATCTTCAATTACACCGTCGTTAAATCTCAACAGTTGCGTCAAATTCACGCCAGCCAGATCGCGAAACAAAAGTGAAAAAAGAAGAAAAAAAAGAAACTCCGCTCCTTCGGTATTTAATAACGTCTAGGAATTTTCTATTCACAACTCCTCCGCGACAGGTCGTGTGTCTCTTTCTCTCCTTGCTTCCTCCTCTTCCCCGCTGTCCTTCGACTCGTTTCACAAGCTAGTTTCACGTACGAACACGTTCCAACGTAATCGAGAACGAACACCGCGGAATATATCCGAAATACCGCTTTTCGGAAATCCTTTCACCAATCCGGCAAACATTTCCACACGATTCCTCCTTCGATCCCTCGAAAACAGGGTCAAACGCGAGCTGCTCTCGATTCGCGCCGATTTAAAAAGCACTTAGAACGAGAACGACGAAGAGGTGTCGAAATTAGGGTGGTGTTTTCGTCCTTCTCTCGGGCGAACAGGGGGGAAAAAGAAACCTGTTTTCTTGGACGAAGAGGAATCGAGTCCCGCGATCCGGACGCGAGGATGTTCGATGCAACACTGGAAGTTATACGCCTCTTCTCCGCAACAATTGCTGTGTATGTACAGTGGCGTACTCGTTTTTTAATCGTGACACTGCATATGCAGTTTGTTTCATCTGTGTGTGTTCGTGTTGTTCCATAAATTTGCCCGTCGATGAACGATCCGAGACTGTGCGACCAGGCTGTCGATAGGTTAGATGGAAAATCGTGAAGCGGAGAGGTTAGAATCGAAGCTTTTCGCCCACTTTCCACGGAAAGGAGGGAAAGAAACGGTGCTGGCGCCAGTGTATCGAAGTGCTTTGGGGTGGAACCAAGCGTGCCTCTCTTCTTATATAAATTACGCGCTAAATACGCGTACGCCTACGTGGAGCTGGCTGGATATAGGCTGCGGCAGCGGCGAACGGGAAGCGATTCTCTAACTAGCCACCGTGGCGAGTTGCAGAAGCGGCTTCGCCTGTCGATGGTAAAAACCGATTGTGTTCGCAGAACCGTCCAAACCGCGCTCATACGAGTCGAACTTTGGCGAAACGCCGATATCGAGATTGGTCTTGACTAATTTTTTTTAGAAAAATTATCTAAATGTGTCGATATATCGAATGGTTTTCGTGATTTGTTGCTCTGGTTGATGTAATTTGTGTTTCGTCGAGTATAGAGTATTTCGGTGCAGGAAGAAAGTGTTTGGTATATATGGTAAACGAAGTGAAAAGAACGATTATTGTGAAGTTTTTATTAAGTTCATTTAATCTCCCTTTTAAATCATTTCCACGTAGTTTTCTTTTTTTTTGCTGTTCTTCGAGATTTATTGAGAGTAATTTCGTAGTTGAATGTTTACGGTGGAAGTTAGGTTAGGTGGATTGAAAGGAGGGATGAATATCAGTGAGAAAGAGAGAGAGGTAGAAATCAATGAAGAATGGTTGTAAACGTTTGAAATATGTTGGTTAGGCAGATTCGACCGCGATCTCACTTTTACTCGAGCCGGTATATTACACGGGTCCAATCACGAGTAATGAGCCGGAGAATAATTGAGGAAGACATCGCCTCCGAGGCAGCGTAACCGGCATTATAGAAAATTGAAGTAATGTAACACACTTGGCTTCAGCCTCGATAATTAATGCGGCACATTTCCTTTTCTGATTATTGAATACTGTACGGGTTATCGCGGATTTCAATGCGGTCTACTTTCTAATGAATTCCTCCTTGTATGAGGGGTATGCAGATGTGCTAGCCTCTTTTTTCCAGCGTTCCGGTGTGATTATTTTCAATTCGAATTATTTCCCGCCTTTTTGCTCATGTGTAAGATAAAAAAGAAACTCTTCAATTCGAGATTGAATTTTGATTTAATCGAGCTTCGTTATTTTACTCACGAAGGATCAGAGAACGCAGGATTCTTCGTTAAAAATATGAGGTTGAATGTGAGGATGAATTAAAAATGAAAACTGCGATAGGCTATTTTACAACAGAACATAGTGCTCAATTATGTTTCTCACTTAGAGGGGCGAGAGAATTCTGGATTCTTCGTTAAAAACAATCGAGTTCCATTTGTTCGCTAACCGAAAGCTATAAGTTACACAAGGTACTCATAGTGTGACGCGTGAGAACCATTTCTCTCTTTAGAGTCCTACTGTGCACGATCCTCGAAATGTTGCACGCGATTTCGTGCAATCTCTCTCTTTCTGTTTTTCTTCTTCGTAATTTTCACCGATTGTCTCCGAAGCAACGGAGCGAAAAGTAAAATAGTGGATATAGCGTTATTCGCTTGGCGAATAGAGCGCGATTAGGTCGCCGGACGAGGCAACGCGAAGCGCAGAGGCATTCGAAAGTGGCTGGCTTGCACGGCGACGCAATTGCGTGTGCACAGATCATTGACTCCAACCACACAACAATCCACTGTACGATCCTGACCACGTAAACATTGTGCAACCATGCAACACGCACACACACGCGCAAATTGTTCATTTTTTTTTTTTAATAAATTCTTTATTTCGTTTTTCTCCGCCGTGAAAATTTTTTTTTTATTTTTCACAGTAGTTCCTAATTTTTTAGTTTTTTCGGGTCGATATAAAATTCGGGGCAGGATAGACTCTGGTCCTTTGTGTGTAAAATAGATTTAGGTGTGTAGTATATGTGAAATGTGAGTTTAGGTTAATTTGAATCATGAAAATTCTCGTTCATCGTGAAAACTTCTTTCATTCATTTTTTTATTAAAAGAATGATTCTGAGTTGTGTCTAAATTAGAAGATTTGACATAGAAGTATGATAGATTTTGGTGCTTAGTGTGTGTAAAATGTGAGCTTAGGTCAATTTGAGAAGATAAATTTGACTCACCTTTTGCCACTCGGCGTACATCTTGAGATAATGTTAGATAACCGTCGAAAGAGAACGAGCTACCCTCATTTTGCACGGGCAGGTGAGGTTGTTAGTCTCCCGCTTGCTGAAAAAAAAAGTCAATTCTGTTTTCAGCCTTCGCGAGGAAGAAAATTAGATTAGCGTGTAAACTCTTAAGAAATTAATTAACCTGTGCAAACGATTGAATAAACTCAGCGGGACTACCGGCTTGTACAACTGAATAGATAAAATATCATTAACTGTATTCTTTGCTTAAAACCAAAAAAAAAAAAAAAAGAAGAGGAAAGAGTCACCAGCAATTACTGTTAATGAAATAAACTTGATCGTAAATTTAATTGACAGGACGAAATAAAATGAACTGAAGTTTAATTGATCGACGCATGTTATCGTTTACTCGAAATCCCAATAATATATTCCATTTGCAAGATATCGTTTCAGTCTGACGTCCACTTAACCATATAATGTATACGTCATGAAAAATCAGGCAAATATTGACGAATATAAATGAAGGAATATAATTAGCACCAATCTCTTATTCAATTTCTCAAATAACCTGAAATTCCTCGATTATCTAAATCTCGTTTAACTCTTCCGCTGCGGCAGATTTTGGTAACACGCGAGGCAGATGATAGATCATTTTATAGTATCATTTTAAAATTATTAATTCTTGTTTCTCCAATTGAAACACGAAACTGTAATCAACCGTAATTTTTCTTACTGTGAACGAAGAAAAATCGGGACTTAAGGGGTTAAAGGTTAAATTAAGGATCAAAGCGCCTGTAGGCGTCAACAGCAATGAAAGGGTTGAATATATACACATATTCTTTATCGATCATCACTCAAAAGTTGTATACTAAATCGTTGCATAAAACGGATCATGAACGATCCAAGTCGACGTCGTAAACTGTGCAGACACGTGATCAGAAAGAGTAATGCGTTTCTAGGTACCGGAAGCAGCATGCACCGGCTGATTATTATTCGACTTCCTGTATCAATGACAATCTATCGTGTAACGACTTGAGTATGAAAAGTTCAATATCGATTCTCGAACTCTCTCCCATCTCTCCCGTCGAGATGGAAAAATAATTACGTACACCGGTCGTGTCTTTTAGATTCTAAAACGTGATAGGTGTATAAAGCGATATGCTCGTTTGACATGGTGTTTACCACGGGGAAGAACAATATGTTGGTCAGTTCACGACGACCTTGAGTCATATCCAAGCAACTGGAATGCGGATTTTATGAATCCTACCTTTGGAGAATTTTTGATACTTCGAGAAACACGATTTTTCACGTGTCTTGAAATTTTAAAGATTGACAGATTCGTCGTGTATTCGAAATTTTATTTATTACGGAATTAAAAATTTTATTCTTTCTAGATCTTATTCGTTGTGGAATGAAAAATCAGAAATTTTGATGTATCGTGGAATAAAAAATTTTATTCGTTCAAAATCTTGTTCACTGTGGAATAAAAAATTAGATTTCTGATTACACGGTGAATATGATTTTCGGTAAAATTCGAAGTTCCAAGAATAAGACTTTTTACTCGGCAATGATCTAAATTTTGTGTTCGATCGAAATGAATTTGACACTCGCGGTATTAATGTTTCTGAAATTTCGCAAGATTGACACGGTTCTACAGAAAATATACATGAATCGTTCGCGTGGCGAGTCATTGATACCCATCGCGTGGCGATTTCGGAAACACCGGAAATGTCGCAAAGTGTTCCGTATTTGCGTGAAGAAATGACTTCTCCCCGGTTCAGAAAATTGAGATATCACGTTCACGTTCGTATGATTCACTGTTCCTGCTGGAAACGGAGCTGCTACGTCGACGGATGGAGAAAAAAAAAGGGAAAAGAAAAACAGTTGGAGTTTTCCCGACGCGTTTGGAAAGCGATCGCAAGTATAGAAATAACTGAAATCGACTGGTTCGCGTTCCCGAGATACCGGAACTGTCGCAAGAAACTAATCTCCGCGAACGATAGATGTAGAAACAACGATCGTTCGTTCTTCTGTGTCCAGCGATCGTGAACGAGAAACGGTTGAAAATGCTCGATCCTGTTTATTGTTCGGGAGAAAGTGAGAGAAAAGTTTAACCCGCGATGCGTAAAATTTGTATACGTTGATAGAATATTTCAACATTGCTGGCTGGAACGTTCAAGTTTCCCCTTGCCAATTTAATGCACTTCTGTTAGTGTAAAATGAAATTTTTAAACCAGCTTTCAATTTATCGACAAATTATTCCGACGTTGATGTAATAGAGAATCAGAAGCTAACTTCTTCAAAAAGTTTACACAAACAAATTGAGCTGTACCTTAATTACTTGGAATATGAAATTTCAACATTGATATTGCAACACTTCTAACACTACACTTCACCAAATTTCTACCTAATTGGACCATGGAAATTTCACCAATTTTTTATTCCATCGTCGTCATTTTCTTCTTGATTCAAGCGTTCAACATTCAACCACAACATTTGAAATAATTTTCCACGTTGCAGAGAAAAATAAGAAATTTCACCAAATTATCGTCGACATAAATTTTTCACAGCATCTTCGTCATTTTCTTCTCAATTCAACCGTTCACCATTCAACACTACACTTCACAAAATTTGAAGTCAATTTTCACATTGCAGAAAAATAAGAAAATTCATCAATTTATCGTCGACATAAATTTTTCACAGCATCTTCGTCATTTTCTTCTCAATTCAACCGTTCACCATTCATAGCCATGTAAAATCGATTTTCCTACTGTAACACTGATTATGTTCATCAATAACTCCTTGTTATTACTAGAAGTTACTGGCGGGCAAATCGGGTTACAGAACGATCCGTCATAAAGATTTCAATGTCACTGTAAAAGCTGTTACACGAGGCCAGTTAACGATCTTCGTCATTTCCCGCAGTCAATGGGACGCGTTTCGGGGATAGGAAAGGACAATGAACAATCGATGGTGTCGAAAGGCCAAATTGCCATCGCCATTGTTACGCTCTTTCGTTTCTTAGCTACGCCTATTCCTATTCCGCGTCGCGAGAGTATGGCGTATCGAGCAGAACCGAGGGTGACTAACCAAATTAGCATAAGATTGCAAAATACATTCCAACGTGAGTACAGCAGAAGGACGCCAGGAGGTAGTACTTTTTACTCGACGATTTATTCGCATGATCGATGAACACGCATCTGCAAGTTATACTAGATTTTGGTAACACTTCGATCATATACATATATGTACCATAGTGATATTTGATTGTTTCCTATGTTTGTGGAGTGAACACTATCGATTTTCGAAGTTTTTAATCAACGCTGAATAGATTGTTTAGACAGGTGCTGAAGGTGAAGAATTGTAGATATCTGTGATTATGCTGGAGTTGTTATGGTACGTTATGGATTATGGGGAAATATTACTTAATATTGTGTGTAAAATATTTTTTTGAGCTTTCTTTAGAAATTGACGGTGAAGATACTAAATATTTTTCGAAGTATTATGTTATTTATTGATAGTGATCAATTTTCTTTTTGTAAGGAAGAATTCTTGTAGTAAGATATAGTTGAAAATTAAAATTAATAGATGCATTGAAAGGGTAGACTTGCTATATAAATATGACGAATGTGATTGGTTGAACATAACTTTGGAATTAGGGCTTACTGAAGATACAAAACATAAAAGTTACTCTGGAACGAAGTGTAACACAGAAAAATTTCAAAGTCTGTATTAAAATATTACGCGAATCAAGTTTGATACGGAGCTAATAATTTCTAATAAAAGTGTGCGTGGTGGAAAATTGCCAGGAGTGAATTATGAACTTTATATCGTCAGATCCATTACGGTGGATTGGACTTCTGAATATAGTGCTACCAGTTTATTACACCCATTTCCTGTATGGTTGATGATAACTGTTATTCATGGTCACAGGATCGATGTAGAAAATGCAACAAATATTCAGCTGAAACGTCATTCTTTGTACTTTTTATATTCCGCGTGATATTTCCTGATAGTAACTGAAATTTCAAATTGGAGCAATAATTGGATTCCCTATAAAAATTGCAAAATTTTCATCGATCACCGTCGATATTGTAAATTCCTGAAATTTCACGAAATTTCATTTGTTCTTCTATCACGAAAATGATCTTTCTTTTCTTTTTTAAATATGCATGACCTCCCGGCATTAGAATCAAAGGGTCTTTACGTGAAACGGTAGACTCGCCCTAGAAAATGATAGGAAATTACAGCGACAAATCGTCATTGCAGCTACGATACGGTGAAATAAGTTTTCAGGGCACCGAATAAATTGCCTTCCATTTCGTTGAAATGGATAATTTGCTCCTGTCAAATCGTTCAGCAAGACAAATTGTGCGTCACAATACTTGAACGTTGCCAGGAATAAGAGGGAAGAAAAATGCTCGGCTGTTTCGTTCTCGTTGGTACATTGTTTCGTGGTAGCCGCTCGTTATTTTTCGTTTCGCGTCGCATGTTTTTCTTCTGTCTCGTCGAAGAGTTTCGCTGGCAAATCTGCCCATGATTCCTGATACAATACAGATGTCCTTTTCACGGAAACATAGTTTCCGTACTTTCTCCGACAGAAAACTGTCCTTCGAGGAATCGTCACTTTTCTAAATTTCCTTTCGTCGATACACAGTCGTCGCGGACTTGTGCAGTTCATGCTTCACGAGCAGCAACCATATCTGATACAATTATTAACGATCAATTGTGAAGTGGTCTGATCACGATCGGTGAATATCTACGGCGTTTGCTTTTGTTTCACACTTGAATAGCTTGAGAAATGTTTAAAGCTAAGGTAACGTGGAATATTGCATAGTGTTTGAATTGTTTAAAGTTTCACATGTTTCTCTCGAACGTACTTTTACCTCGTTTATTAGTTCAGTTGAAGTGTGATCCTAATTGAAAAATGAAAAATTCCACCTTTGACCCTAAGTGTTACTGTACCAATCGATGTCGCTACTTGAAACTTTAGTGTACGATCTATATTTATTGGAACACTCTTAACTTTATTTAAAAATTTTTAATTTTCATTGACCATCAGTCGATATTTATGAAATTTCATTTGCCTTCTGTTGAAAATTATCACCTGTCACGGAAAATTCTTGATATCTCTTTATATCTAAATCTCATTAGAATCAAAGGGTTTTTCACGTGAAACGGTAGACGCGGCCTAGAAAATGACATATTTCTTCCACCGACTATACTCGTCAATATTCATAACCGAGCGGTGACATTACTATCGTAACCACTCAAGGAAGAATAAGAGACTGTGGTATGTCTGTAATTGCAAGTCCAGCAGAATAAAGGCGAGATTTATCTGAGAAAATGAAAGGCCTTCTGCAAGGTAGAGGGTACAGTCGATAGAAGCGACACAGCGAGCTCGTAAAATCAATCAGCCGTCAAAATACACATAATTCGGATGATTCAACGTCATTGCAGAATATTTAAAAAATTTGTCGACGTCTTAACAGCTGCAGGTTAATTTTTACCAATGTGGCAATTATTTTCGAGAGGTGGAAATTTAATACCGTGCACCTTAGAATGAAAGGTTGCGAGCAGAAATTGTCGATATGAATTGACAAATGACGGACGAGCCTGGGTGCGGCTACATTATCGCTTCCGCCAACTATACGAGAGGCTGAATGGTACGTTTGCAAGAATCGATGAACGGGAGATTTTTTCCATGACGGAGGCACGAAGCCGAATCTAACATCGAAGAGAATCAGGGTTTCGTCGAGCAAGTATCGAGGTCAGACAGAGAAAGCAGCAGCTCGACTACGGTGATACAAGGATCTTATGTAATTCATAATCGCACCTCTCCTTTATCGATATATAAAGACACGCGAGAGATTACTTATCTCGTATCATTGTAAATAACACGCAAAAATTCGCGGCAATTTTTTCTTTAAAGGAAAGACGAGTTGCTTAACGCTTTCGTTGCTATTGACACCTTGAAGATTTGTTCACACCGTGCTATTAGAGCCTATGCATCTTAATTGAAAGCCTGAATTTTATCCTTTGCTCATTTCCACCTTAATTCGATAAAACAAATTTCGAGAGGAAAGATTTTTCAAAGGGTTAAAGTATTTGTAAAATAGAGTGGAATTTTATAATTGTAAAAAACTTTGTAAAACATGCAGAATTTATTGGAGGCAAATTAACGCGAGCCTTGATTAGCTGAATGTATGAAAATTAATACGAGAATGTTTGCTTGATATTCAAGATTGTTTAAAATTCGCGCATTTATTTATCGAATTGCAACTACTATTAAATTATCATTTGAATTAGATCGATGTTCCATTGGATAAATCGAAACGGTGTTTGTTGAATTTGATTTCTAACGAGCCGAACCGAACGAATTAGTCTAACAGTACATACTATATATATATAGTTGAGAGTTTCTGTTAAAACGCTGAAACGTTCTAAATGTCTGGTTTTATTTCCAATTAATTCGAGCGAGGTTTCCATTGCCGCGGGATTATTTCGCAAATATTGTCGAGGGTTGTGCAAATATTTGTGGCCTGGCTTGTAATTGGAAGAAGTCGCTATGCACGGTTTGTCGAAAGTTCGATCGCGAGTGATACGAAACGAGTTGAATTTCACGGTGAAAGTGCTTCCCTAAAGTTTGCTTTCTTATCGGTGCAACCGTTCGAAACTTGAAAAGCGACAAGGATAGATAAAGCGAGAGGGTGTAATTAACAACACCGACGCGAGATTCTTAATCGTGCGTCTCGAGACGTAAGATGGAAACGTCGTACGCTGTAAATTATCATTTTTGCAACCGGTGGTTGATTTATTTAGTAATTATCTAGGCGCAGGCTCATGTTGATTTCTCCATTTACGTAAAGTGCGTGTTCACGCGCATTGAGAGCAATAAAATTTGTCAGCAACGGGAAACTGCAACAGTGTTCATCGAGGCAAGGTTGCGTTATACGATCGATAATTTCAACGTGTCTTGACAGAGTATTTAAAAGGAAGAAGTGAATATATGTAACGCCGTTTAATGAGATTTTAATAGTACATCGATAAAGAGGGAATAAAGTGGGATGTTTTAAGAAATTGTCTTTTTTTGGGTGTTATCTTGTTTCATGGTTATCGAAGTTCATTAAATACTCGACTGCTAACTAGTATCTTTCCAATGAGTTCGATGTTTTGCGTGACATGAATGAATGTTAATAACGGGACAGTATCTTTCTCCAGCAACAGCGGGAGGTCACACGATTCGCTGTCCTTGAATACTTTCGCCTAATCGGGCATCTAGATCAGACTGTATCCTGATCTCACTACGGAAAAGTTAATTAAAAATATTGAAAAAGTAGAAATTTTCACGTATCCGTTTCGTCCTGATCAAATTTCAGCAAAGAGTGTTATTCAAATTTTCAGATTTAAGGAAAAGTTGCGTGAAAATACTTGAAAAACAGAAATTTAAATATCCTCGTGGAATTTTACAAAAGAGTATTATTCATATTGAAAAAGAACACATTTAAAGGACGTCGATTAAATATCCCAGCAGGTAGAAATATTGAAATGTATTTCAAATCAATGATTAAAATAACATTGAAATAGCGTTAATTAAATGATTCCCCTCCAAAAAACGGGAAAATTCGAAATTCACCGTCCAGCAGGTATCATTATAAATAAACATGACCACGGCGTGCATTAACTATGACTCAGAAGCCGTTCATATAAACAGTATAACCTATCCGGCAAGCAACAGCATCTCTTATTTGCACTAACGAGTGTTGCTTCAACATCGCTGCCTATCATCATCCTCATTTCTACACTACCTACGGCTATATTCCAAAAAAAGAGAAAAAAAGAAAATACCATCGCGCATTATTTTCACCGTCTCGAAGTCGCATCTTTATTCATCGATACCAACTCCGACTTCGTTCCTTCGTATCTCTTTTATCCCTCTTGGAGCATTTTTTTTTTCTACACAACACACAACCTCTCGTAAAAAGGAATAATTCATCCGAGACTCGGTGTGTGCGTGCGAAATCGTGAGAATTCCGTTGTCCTCCGTAGAACGCAGAGAGGAACTGGTCTGCCTCGATCGACAACGTGTGACACAGGGGAGCGTGCCTCGAAACTCCATGTTTATGGCAGCGAAAGGATACGGGCCTGGGAGGCACGTCCAATGGCATTCAGCCGCTCACAGCATCCGAACGACCGGGAATATCTGGCGTAGCTCGAGTGTCACGGTGCACCGCGCCATTTTAAAATGGATCGACCGAAAACTGGTCGTTGTGTACTCACTTTACGTACCATTCGCGATGTCAACGAGATGTACGAGAGAACAGAGAAATAAGAACGAAAGCAGTCCTTCCACGCGGTACGGAGGAGGAGCAGTTAATACAGAAACGCATGTCTTGACCGCGCATCGATGTCTCCCGAGGAGCGGCGTGCTCGTTTAAACGACGTTTCTACTCACTCTGGAAGCTTCCTCGCGTTTCTGCTCTCCCTGGTGCAACTTCTCCACGAAATCCCTCGAGAATAGAGACGATGTCACGATTTTTCAGCACAGGAGATGGTGTTCCGTTCACTTGACGACGTGCGATCACGAGCCACGAGGAGATCGACGATGGAACGGGGCGCGGTGAACAAAGGAGGATGGTGGAAAGGAGAAGTGAAACAGAGAGGAAAACGAAAGAGTAGTCGCACACAACCGGTGTGTGTGTATATATATATAGATAGAGGAGGATCGATGAGATCGATCCTGGAATTCACAACAGTATTTTCACGATGTTTTCTGTCACTTGAACTTGCTTTTTTAAAGCGGAAGTCACGGTGAACGTCGGCGTTTTTACCACCGACGCCTCTAAACGTCTCGTTTCCCTTTGGCAATTCGAGCGTTCCCGGACGACCGGACACCGACTGCGTTCACAACGCGATTCCGGATCGTGGTATGCGGCCGTTCGACCTCGCCTAAGAAGACTTTTAGTTCACGTAGCGAGCGAACGGCGCCACCGTACGCTGTTTCTGTACCGTTACACACATTACAGGTGGTTCGTGGTCTCTTCGTGTGCAAATCCCCCTCTCGCCTTCCATCCACGGTCTTTACGTTTTACCTGTTCAGGACTCTTGTCGTTGCCCTCACCGACGACCGTCGATCGTCGTCGCAGGTGTGTGCAGGTGCATACCAGGTCTGGCTGCGTTTCCCAAATGTACACACCGAGCCAGTCAGCTTCGCAAAAGGAACACCCCAAAGAGGTCATCTAATCGGCGGCCATTGTCCTCGTACGGGACTCTCGAGGGGCCGTGGTCGGTTTTACAGGCTGCTTTTCACTTTTGCTCGAACCGGGTCTCTCCAACGAGCACGTGTTTCACTAAACGGTGTGGGGTCTCTCCTTTTTGGTTCGAGAATCGAGGAAATGGGTAATGCTAATGCGACGTGTGGATGGAATCTTCTTCTTTTTTTATTTCTTTCTGTTTTGTGTGTCTCCGGAGAAAGATCATTCGAGGAGTAAAAAATTGATAAATTAATTAATTTATCGAGGTGGTATTTTTGGTAATAGTTTTTGTCGATTGAAATAAATCGACAGGAGTGATTGATAGTTTGGATAGTTTATCGAAGTCGTGAATTGGTACGCGTAGAAATAGATAGGAATTCGTGGAATTTCCAAAGATTCAACGTGGACATACGAGCTACGTGGTTGTTGTTTTAAAAAGGTGTGGTAATGTATAGCTTCATTAGTTTATTCTATGTTAATGTATCATTCAGGTTGCTGGTTTGTGGCTCAGCAATGCGAACACCTGCAGTACTTTAACTTTGGTATGCGAGCAATGTACCATAGATTTCCACTCACCGTCCACGGGTTTCTTAAACGAAACAGTCGGTGTCTTTCTGGGTAAAAGGGCCATTCCCTGTTAATTGAAACAGCTTGAAATACATTCAATATTTAATTACTTCGTCGGGATTTTTATTTCCCATATAAAGTTATGTTTCTTTGGTGTTTTTTTTTTTTTATTTTTTATTTGAGGACCCTAAAGTGTGTTACCATTTTCGTGTCACTGGCAACGTTATCGATTCAGCATGGAATAACATTACAGCAATGGAAGTCGTTGGAATTGAAGTTAAACGTAAATATAAATCACAAACGAGATACAGAATTCTATAATTATATACGTTTAATGTTTGTCAGTTAATTTAGAGAATAATTCTGATAAAAAAATGTCAGTTAAACATATTTGAGAAACCTAACAGTAAAAGAGAAGTCATTAATGGGAATTGTTGATTTATGCTAATTTTAATGTGTCTTTAAAAAATATATTGGGTGACAGATTTATTTTGTATCTAGTCTGTGATCCAGTGCACAGTAGTTTCTATAAAATCTACTATACCAGCGACGAATAAGTCAGTTATGCATCGATCGCTGAGAAGGAAGGGGGTTTGGCTCTCGTAGCAGTTGTTGCAAAGGAAGAAATCTATAAATCAGTATAACTCGGAATAGAAACTATATAAAAGATAAAATATATTTCACAAAATACAGTTTTTTTTTTGCAATTTCAATATTTTTTCTAAACTTACAATATATAAATCACATATTCGAGTGAATTAAATTGTTTTTTTCTGAATGATTCTACTTGTTCATCTGATCTGTAGAACGTATTTGCATTTTTATGTTATTTTAACAAATTAAATTGATATTACAAAAAGAAAATTACAATCTATCGTATTTAATTGAATCAGAATCAAATTGTGGGAGGACTTAATATCTCCTTTCGTTCAATAATGTTCTCACTCTTTTTTCAATCATTTTTCAAGTAGTGAAAGATACTCTTGCAAGAAAATTCGTACTCACAAGAGAAAATGATAAAATTAACATCGAATTACTTTTTATTAATGTCTTATTATTGTCTTTTTTATTTATTAGTTATACTAATTCGTTTAATTAAAAAAAATTCGTGAAAGATGTATTCTGATATTTCTACAAATCGTGAAATTTCTGCAAGTACTGATAGCTTCCTGTAAGAATGGATTTGTTCGAGAAAGAATCGTATCCAACTCCCCTCAGACATGTATATTTCATGCAGCCTGACAATTTTTATATAGATTCAAAGAATTATAGTAATTCAGCTACACGAGGCGGTACCCTTCTTCGATTGATATGGATGAGACGGCTTGACTTTTGATATACGCTCGATTTGAAATGGAAAATCATGCCTGGATTGGATTCGCACGTGAGCTGAAATAAAGTTACATCGGCAGGTTTAAGCCCCGCTATATTTGCCTGGCCTACGTATCGATACCCCGGGCATAATACATGTGCCAGAATTTATACGGTGCTCGTTACAGGAAGCTCCATATTCGACATTCATAAAATTAATAACCGTGCAACGAACCGGGTTACAATATTTATTCCGTGCAACCTGTCAGTCGAAAATAGAGAAGTAAAATAGAACGTCTGAGTGAAACAATTTAATCTACTTTCCGATGGAGACAGTTAATTCGAGCGATCTTCAGATTTTTTCCAACTCAATTATTTATGAAATAAAATTAATTTAATTCGAACGAAAGAATTGACGAACATTTCGGAAAGAAAAAAAGAAAACACAAACCATGGTAAATATTTGAGGTAAATTCTGAGGAAGAAAGAGAATCGTGGCAAAGTGTGATCGTTGAAAACAGTAGCACGCGACGCGAGCTTTATTCCCAGCCATAAACGAGCAACGAAGGCTCCACTTCTCGCCTGGGCCGTTTCACCGACATTGCATCGAACTAATTTCAAAGTTGCGCGCCTCTGGCTGGCATAAAATTAAGAAAATCTATCCGCGGGGTCGAAAAGTTCCCGTCGAAAAGAAGCCACACGCTTCACAATGAATACGAATACGAAGTTCCAGAAGAAAGCCACGGGATGGCCGTGATTGTGGCGGAGGAACGAGGAGAGAGAGAGAGTGAGTGAGTGTGGGTGGACAACACAGAAGGAGAAAAGGAAGGCGAACAGACCGCGCGAGCCACAGTCCCTGGCAGCAACTTAAATTGAGTCGATAAAAGTTCGCGGAATAAAGCGGCCCTGAGCTTCGCCACTATATCAGAAACATCTGCCAAACGTTATTACAACTTTGAATAAAGAACGGCGCCGGAGGAACGCGCGGAGGGGGTGCTAACCGGTCGAAGAAAGAGAGGAAACTTCCTTTCTCGTGGCAACGACGATGACGACGACAACGACGACGACCACCACCGGCCAGAATCTTTCTCTACCCCATCCCTAACGAAACTTTTTCGCTCCTCCTCGACCGTGAGAACTTTGACGATAAATCAAGTCGTTATTTTAATTTTTCCAGATGGGAGAAAGAGGGTTGTGGTTTAGATACAGCACGCCATCGCTGATGTCGTCGTTAGTTTTAATTTCCATCGTGTCCTCGCGATGCTTATTGTTCTAGGACGTAGGATTTTTGTTCGGTGGAACGGTTTGGGCGGAGAAATATATTAGTACGAAAGTAGTGTTGTAATTGGTGGAAAGATTTGACGAAGATAAATTTCTGTGTTGATCTCTTGAGAAGAGATGTTTCTTAAGAAATTATTTTAAGGTGAAGCATAATTTTTGTGCAATTTTGGGAGTTTCTTTGGAAATATTTACTCTTCTAGCAAATGGACGATAATCTTTCAATTTTCCTATATCTCTACCTTCTTTTCTAACTTAAACAGCGAGCCTTGAATTAAACTGATCTACTTTCACACATGGACGTAACTCTATTTCACAAAAATTCTCTACTGAAAGAATCTCCTTGGAAGGAGAAGACACGATTAAAGGTGCCAAGTAGCTTCTTATGAAAAGTAGCTGGACAATTGGAAGAAAATCATTGCTACTCGAAGGAATCAATTAAAACCCGCGGGGCAACGTCGAAATGGCGGATCGTCGCTGTAGAAACAAACAGACACCGCTTTACCGATACCTTGTATCTCAATTTATAATGCAATCGCTTCTTCCTTGGAGCTTTTCAATGGACCCGTCGATCTCCTTCGAGCAACCATTTACGACGTGAAATCGTGGGGCCAACGATTTCACCGAGGATCAGGCGAGTGAGAGAAAGAGAGAGGAGACGAGAAGAAAAGAAAAGAAAAGAAGAAGAGGAAAAAAAAGGAGCACGCCACGTTCATATCTGTGCAGGGATCTTTTGTGGTGGCTTCTGGTCTTCGAAACATCGACGAAGCTCCGCTACGTTCGAAGCTGATATCTTTTGATCGGCTACCTTCCTTTCAACGAGATATAGACTTCTCTCTGACTCGTCCTCTTTCTTCGCTCTTTCTCTCCCTTTCTCTCTCTTCACCTCGTTCCATCGCTCTTTTTACGTTCCTCAGTCACGTCTTCGCGGTTTTGTTCGGCAAACAAGCCGATGATTGTTGCGGTCGGGCAACCGCGCTCGTCCTGGTGGCACGCCATTTCGCGGTTACTGTGAAAAATCCATTATCGCCGCGTTTCGACCGAGAAACCCTCTGCCTCTGCCCGCGAGATCATTCTGCCCTGATGAAAATTG